GCTGTGTCTCTCTCTGTCAAATAAATAAATAAAATCTTAAAGAAAAAAAAAAGAGGCAGACTGTTGGAGTGAACAGGAATAGGGTTTTGCCAGGTCAATGTATCAGAAAAATGACAGTAAAGCAAACATGTTATTCACTGCAGAGTTCTTAAGGTGAAGAGTCGTGGAATATGATCACTGTAGGGAAGGAAGTGGGCATGGGAGTAAGTTATCAGAGGGATAGCAGGGAGCTCAAGTTTTAGAAACACAGTATGAGTGACTGACATCTGAAATAACAGAAATATTAATGGAGGATGATGCTAGCTTGTCATCAATATACTTAATATATATAAACTTGAAAATATAAAGAAAATACATCCTTAATTGAAATATTAAAAGACTTAAAACTAAATATGTTAAAATGAAAATGCAAAGTATATATGTGTATGTTTCTGCATATACATTTTAATGCATATGTATATGTAAGCATATAAAAAATCTAGTAAGAAAATCTACATTGATTAGCTATAAGGGACAAAACAGTTACTATTATTTTCTTCCTCACTTTTTGTGTCTTCCTAAATTCTTAAAATGATCATGGATTACTTTTATAATAAAAAATAAAATATATTTCGGGCGCCTGGGTGGCTCAGTTGGTTGAGCATCTGCCTTCGGCTCAGGTCATGATCCCAGGGTCCTGGGATCGAGGCCCACATTAGGCTCCCTGCTCAGTGGGGAGTCTGCTCTCCCTCTCCATTTGCTGCTCCCCCAACTCACGCCCTCCTTCTCTCTCAAATAAATACAATCTTAAAAAAATAATAATAAAATCAAATATATTTTTTTAAAAAGCAGCTGCTCAGAAAGATCCCACTGTTTGGTTCTATCTTTATAAAATATGTATTTGCTAGGTCATTAAGAATTAAATATAATATCACTTTCAAGCATTTCATGACCAAAAAAACCCGATATCCAAACCTTCACAATATTTTTGGCTTAAGTTGCACCAAACTGAAATAAACCTAATGAAAAGATTAGTGACAAAAAAATACGAATAAAAACAAGACTTGGACAAAATCTTCCTGCTAATACTTACTTGTTTCTTTTCTTAAATTAGATGTCTTATCCGGAAATAAAGGACCAAGCCATGAAGGTTCAATTTTTCCTATACAGAATCCTCCAAGGCAAATGCTATTATTGGCCACATCCAGGGCAAGCCTCCTTAAGAGTAAGCTGATGATCTGGCTGTCACCTTTTGCAATGCTTATCGTCAGCGCTTTCCGGACATCTTGTTCACGGGAACCACCATTCAGTAACAGTTCCACCAATTTGGCACTACTGGCTTTCTCACATACCTAGTAAACAAAAAAGGAAGGTGAACATATTAAAAGCCCATTTCTTCCTTTTGGTAGACTGGTAAATTGAATTTGGTGTGACTTTTTTTTTTAAAGATTTTAAAGAGAGATAGACAGCGAGAGCAGGAACACAAGCAGGGGGAGTGGGAGAGGGAGAAGCAGGCTTCCCGCTGAGCAGGGAGCCCGATGCGGGGCTCCATCCCAGGACCCCGGGATCATGACCTGAGCCGAAGGCAGACGCTTAACGCCTGAGCCACCCAGGCGCCCCAGTGTGATTTTTCTCTACACCCTTAAATTTAGATAGAAACAAAATAAGGCAAAACTCATCCTTGAAATAGATTAGGAAAATAAAAGATCAGTGTCACCAATATCAGCGTAGCATTAGCCAAATAATCTGCCACATGAGAGTCAGTTAGCATGAGAAAGGCAACATGATAAGGAGAAAAAGTTCGTAACACTTGAAGTCAGAAGACCCAAGGCTCTACCAATTATACATATTGCTTATACCTTCTGGGCTTGGGTTTACTCCTTGAAGCTGGAAAAACTAGCACCATACACAGTAAAGGCTACTGCCCTGCCTTCCCTCGTGATAGAGAATAATTAAATGAGAATGTGAACATGACAAAACTTGTAAATGCCATAGGCAAAGGACAGTCATCTCTGATCTCTGGTTTCCAGGACAAGAATCTGAATTTCCACAAAGAAATTTCCTGTATTCTACCTTCCCCTGAATACTGTTTGCAGAGCACATGCTCCAGGTAGGGTCAGCATGCTCGGTGCTATAAAAACTACAGTGACTGTAGTAAGCAGAGGGAAGACAGCAACCTGTAGCCTACTGGCCTGTGCAGGAACAGCTTCTGAAAGGTGAAGGAATATGATGCTCTATCAACTAGAAGATCAAAGCAATAGGTAATAGAAATATTACATGTCAGGTACTGTACTAAAGTCTGTATACACTTGATTTCTAATTTTTATTAAAAATCCTATGCCAGGGACGCCTGGGTGGCTCAGTCACTGAGTGTCTGCCTTTGGCTCAGGTCATGATCCCATGGGCCTGGGATCGAGCCCCGCATCGGGCTCCCTGCTCAGCGGGAGGCCTGCTTCTCCCTCTCCCACTCCCCCTGCTTGTGTTCCCTCTCTCGCTGTCTCTCTCTGTCAAATAAATAAAATCTTCAGAAAAAAAATATAAAGTTTTCCTTTAAAAAAAAATCCTATGCCATAAAAACTATTATCCCCATTTTATAGATGAATATTTAGAAAAGATAAATGATTTGTCCAAACCCTTAGAGGTAGTCAACAAGAGACTTGGATCTGAAGTCAAATCTGCTCACTCCAAAGCCTGTGCTCCTTTCCCTACCCAAAATTAAGGATAAGAAAAGAAAAGAAAAGAAAAGAAAAAAGAAAAGAAAAGGAGGAAAGGAAAGGAAAGGAAAGGAAAGGAAAGGAAAGGAAAGGAAAGGAAAGGAAAGGAAAGGAAAGGAAAAAAAGAAAAGAAAAGAAGCAAAGCCCCTAAGATCCAAGGTGCCAGATCAGGGGAAAGACACCGGGGGAAATTCCTGAATTCTCTAGAATTTAAGTATGTTCAAAGAAGTTGAGGGGACCATTTTGTGGTTCGATGACCAACTTAATGCCCACCAGTCTCCAGGTTACCCACCTTCAACCCATTCTCCTCAGAGCCACCACAGTACCCTTCTACTTCAGATGTGATCAAGTCACTGTCCTGTTTAAAAATCTTCTAAACCTCTCTGCTCCAAGACATTTCCCAAACACAACATGCAATTTTTTAAATCTCATTATTTTCATTTATACTATTTCTAGTGCCCTAAATGTCTAACTCTGCTCTTCATCTAGCAAAAAGATGTTCATTCTTGAAGGAACAGCTTTGTAATCTCTTGCACAGTAAGTCCTTGCTACCAAGCTCCCAACACACATTCTTTCTCCTCCAGGCCCCCATCACTTTTGCTTAACATAGCACTTGGCACACTAAACCAAACATGCCTATCTGTTTTAAAACTAGAATGAAAGGCTTGGATGCTATTATAATTCAATTTGTACCTCCTCAGCCTAGTATAATACCTAGGAAATATATAAGGACTCCTGGGTGGCTCAGTCAGTTAAGCATCTGCCTTCC